CAAATAAAACGATATGAATATGTACAAATAAAACGTTATGGATATATACAAATAAAACGTTATGGATATATACAAATACGACGATATGAATATATACAAATAAAACGTTATGGATATATACAAATAAAACGTTATGGATATATACAAAGAAAACGATATGAATATATACAAATAAAACGATATGAATATATACAAAGTCGAGTGTTTCATTTAGAAGGCTATGAGTCGCTGCGCAATCAAATCTGGCAACGAATGATGCTCTCACTGTCACACCCACACGCAGCGCAGTATTTACTTTACAGGGTTCTAGGGTATAGTTTGAGGCTTGACTATAAGGATTGCATATCGGAAAGGTGTGGATGGATTGTGGGCTGAGATGGTGAGCGGCTCAATAGATGCACAGAAGTACAACAATCACATGCTCAAGGAGCACACTGATGCGGCGAGACACCAAAGTCCATGCGCACTGATGCCGCAGAACTCCCATATAATTGTGAATAGGACTTACATCTAGAACACATATACATACTATATACCTATATACATATACGTATACATATAAACATAAACATACTATATATCTATATACATATACTTAAACATATATACAGACTATATATCTATATACATACACATGTACATACACATATATACATACTATGTATCTATATAAACATAGTACTAAACATTTATATACACGTATCCTACGCATGAGATCGAGTTCAGTTTTGCTCTTATTTTGTGTACAACCTTAACCGTATACTACACACAGGAAATTAAATTCCACAACATGCTCACGCAGCCCCATACGAACACGCGTGCAGTACATACACATCCTCGGCATTCTCATCTGCCCACGTGTAGGTTGCCTTTGACATGTTCATGTAGGTGTTCCATGTATCAAACGGTAACACATTGCCCATGTTATGCCGCTCAGCATGCAGCGGCGGATTTCCTGAGTTTCGTAGCACCGTGAGAGGCACAGTGAGATATAGTTGTGACTTGTAGCTTTGCCATAGATTTTTTTGCCATAGATATTTTTTTTGCCATAGGCATTGCCTGTTATAAGTTGTATTAGAGCGTTGACGGCTGCGAATGCTGTGTGTATAGTAGTAGTAGTGTACTATATAGGAGCTGCATGAACAACCATGTTTGGACTAAAACCCTTGCTGCCTATATGCATTTGACAAGTACCAATTAAAGCGTATGAACTGTGGATTGATTTCGCAATACACAACACATTGCGTATAAGTCGTGGATCTTCTCGAGAGGAATGCTCCTTATTTGCTTTTAAGGCTGTCTGACTGTATACTTATCCGTATGATGCTGTCACTACTAAGGCGTAGAGTCTACCCATGACACAGGTCAGCGGTACACAAGGACAAGCAGGAAGACTATACATTGGACCAAATTAATTTTAAAATTTATATATCACCTAAAGTCCAAAACGTCCTAATCCATTTAAAATCCAAAACTTCACTAGAGTGATATCAAATGTGTACACCATATCTTCAGTACGACCTTCAATGCTTCCTTAAATCAGACATTCTATTACAGGAAGTACTTCTAGTGCAATGTGGTATGTCTCTAAGCGAATGTATAAACATTTTACAAGTACGACCTTCAATACTTCCTTAAATCAGATATCTAAAAAGTTTCTATCACGGGGAGTACTTCTAGTGCAATGTGGTATATTTCTGAGCTGTGCCAGCAAAGCATGTTAATCGCAACACACACAAAAAGTATAAACACAAACACACACCCAAAACCGGTATCCGACCAAGCTTCACAGCCATAGCCACAAAGCTTTTCATGTTAGCTACACGGTCATTGAGACCACCATTCGACACAGAGTTAAACCACAGGAACTTGTCTTCCTCTTGTGGGGTGTAGTGGTAAGAGTACCAATCCGCACTAACAGGTGCGTCGGCTTGTGTGGTGAACTTTGCTTTGGCCAAAGTTGGTTTGTCCCTTTTGCGCAGCCCTGTATCAGAGTCCTCCGACGTACCGCCACCTGAGCTCTCAACCTCATCACCACTTACTGTATTACCCTGACCACCCGCGTGCTCTACCGCGACATCTGCATCACTGAGATGCTGTTTGGTAACTGTGCCATCAATCTCTGCTTCACCGTCACCCGAGTCGACACTATTCTGACCTTGATTTGCTGTGGTCAAATCTTGCGTTTCAGGGTTATAAGGACGCTTCACGTGCACCACTTTGAGGTCTTTTAGCCTGATTCCTAGCTGTGTTTGTCGATTGTGTTTACTCAGAAATTGGTTTAGCTGTGAATTCATCTCTCGTTGGAAATACGCATACACGAATGCACATACAATCACCGTTCCTAGGAGCGTGTGACATCGGGAATAGTTCGGTTTTCTCATTGACGATTTGCCGTTCATCTTCACAGTGCTAAGAAAAAGTACATACACGTTAAAGTAGGTCTCACCGGAGGTCTAGTATACTAAGCATACGCGATAATTATACGCTGGGTGAATAATGACTATATAATGTGTACTTCAATATGTGTGCAAACTGTAAATCCAATACTACAACCTATGTATATATGTGTAAGTAAATATATGAGAAAATAATGATACTATGACAACTCCTTTTCCGATTGGTCTAAACCTTACTATTGAGAGACCTGGAAGTGTGGTTGGGTTTGGAAGGTCGATTGGTTTTAGTGGTTTATTTTTATTTTATGATAAGGGCCCAGGGTTTCTAAATACAGCCATCCAATCAAAACTAAACAAATTTTGGCGCCGAAACGAAATCAGGAACGTGTACATCTGTATATGCGAAATTTTTCAAGTTAAAAAAACAAAACACGCGTAATAAAGCGATAAATTTTGTTCTAAATCAACGTCTCCCCATCAGTTCGCAGTAGTCAAACTGTACATGCACAGGTAGTAAGATACGTGCATAGTGCATGCATTGCTCACGCACGTAGTTTCAGTTCCTATACGAATATTGAGCTCTGAATTGTAAATCGATTGACTCCCAGCCCATTTATGTGTATGAATCAATCGCTATGTACGTGTACCATACACTGATTTAAAAAAATTTATCGCCGTAAAAAAGAGTGTAATAACAAATCAATACGTTCACGATGGCGAGACAGCAAGAGGCGAAAAGAAAGCGCCGAAATACTTTGAGTGATCCTGCAGGCGGGTCTCCAAGTAAGGCGT